GGCTCCGCCCCCGCGGCGCCGCGCTGGTTGCGCCCGGTCTGCGGGCAGGGGGTTTGCGGTCCGCACCTCAGGCCGCGAGCGGGCGACGGCGCCCCAGCAGGAGCTCGGGCCGCTTCAGGAGCTATCTGTGCACTTTGCACTTCGCCTCCTCCCCGTTTTAAGTCTTCCTCTAGCAGCGAGACTTAATGGCGGGGGTGACATTGGGCAGCACAGAAGTTAAGCCCCCAGCCCCCTGCACATACACACGCAACTTCGCGGCTGCTGCGCATGGGTGTTTCCCCTGCTGCCTGACACAGCATGGAAGATTTTGGCTGGTTCATCCTCACCCTGTCGCTCTCAGGATTTTGGAAATCCCCCAGCAGCGCCACAAAGAGCGGCCGAAGACAAGAATTCAAGCCGCCTTGTGCCTTTCCATCGCTCGCCACCTCTGAAGTGGCCGGGTCTTGGGCCCAGGGACAGTACAGCGGGATGCACTTCCGTCCTCCTCTTGGGGGCTTTCCTTTCACAACTTCTGAGTCTTTTGATTTTGACATTGTCTGCTGCATCAGTCGTGAGCCACCAGGCCTGGTAACGGCAACCCTCAAATGAAAACGTCTGTTTAAAAGCACAGGGAAATAGCCGATTTTTTCATATTCCATCGAGAGATTCCATTTCGGGATTGCGCCTCCTAAATCCGCTAGGGCACTCACTTGCAAGTGAACCGGCTGAATGATCGCCTTGCCTGCATACTGTGTTTCTTGTACTGTTGTCATTTTCCAGAGTGGCAGTGAATCTGGGAGGTGGTTGGGGGTTCCCAGAGAAAGAGCAGCCCCCAAATCTGGGGACTCGCACTCCTCTGAAAGAGCTTGGCACTTATATTGCCAATGAATCATAACTGTCTTACACATTCAATTTTGAAAACAGAAGCAAAAATACAAGAGAAGGCCTGACATGTATCCTACCATAAAGAAGGGCAGTGGTTTGTCTGAAAAAAGACCAGGCTGGGGTGTCTGGATGCTTCAGAATTCGTTTCAGCTTCTTCCCAGAGATAAACACAAAAGTCCAGTATGTTCTAAAATTGGAAGTAGGCAGGAGTTATTATTTTCTTTAGTTCCACATGAAATACACTCTAGGCCAGGCATGGTGGTGCACGCCTGTAATCCCAGCACTTGGGAGGCTGAGGCAGGAACAATTTAGTGAGACCCTGTCTCAAAAAAAAAAAAAAAAAATGCTAGGGGCAGCTCTAGCTCAGTGAGGAAGAGCTGGGTTCAACTGTCAGTCCCCCACTCTGACCCTCACAAAAGAGTGCCCAATCCAAATTACCAACAAGATCTAAAGAACTTTGTTTACTAAATGTCCTTGAGGAATTATTGTCACAGGTAAATTTGGTAAACAATGCCTAGTGTGAACCAACTGAAGGCTGCATCCGGGACAATCTCCCTTTGTCCATCCCTGGGACCCACCTCTTCCCACCCCGACCCTGAGCTCCCAAGCCATGACTGCCCAAACTTCCTTCATCACCAGCTCAAAGGTCTATTCTGGAAAACAAGGCTGGTTTCCTCCTGGTTTCTACACTTCCTCTACCCTAAGCATGTCTAAGGATCATTACTGTGGCTTTTACAGCTGAAAAATGAAAGAGTGTATTATGAACTGTGACACTGAAAAATGAAAGAGTGTATTATCAACTGTGACACCAGGCATCTACCAGGGTTGTCTCTGGCACACTTGGGATGCAAGGCCTCTCTGCACTTAGCATAATATATGCAACATATTTATTTACACATTCATTTTCTGGACCATAAAATTCTAAAGGTCAGGAAGCATGTCCCACACATGAAGCATTTTTGTTCCCCTAGAGATTGGGATGGGACCATGTGTTCAACAGGTGTTAATAAATGTATTTTTAAGAAATGAATGTTCTAGTTAATACAGTCTTTGTGAATTTGACTGTGGTGATATGAATTCACCTGGCTGCTCCTGGGGAATTCAGATCTTGCACTGAAAAAAAACAGAACCTAGGTTCAATGATGGCCCCAACATGGTAAGCCTGATCTGGGCAACAAGTTCTTGAAACTAGAGGACAAATGCCCAGCTTTCTGGAGATGAATCCTCTGGAAGTTCTTGGACTTAGTGAAAACAGCAGGAAGGAATTTAGTCCATAGCCTGAACTGATTTTATTTTCCATCAGTATAATAATGAGGATAACTGATGTATCAATTTTCCTGCAATTCTGGGAAAGAATGGGCAATATCTGACAACAACCATCCTAAACAAGGTAAAACATAATTTTGCTTCTAAACTTCACTGAGCAGAATGTCGACAACTAGGTAACCAAATGAAGAGCTATTTGATTTGAAAATGACCACAAGCACAGAAAGGCCCCACCTGTTCTCTTCCTGCCTTTGCTTCTCACCCTTTCCAGAAATTCTGGATCAATATACCATGAAAATCCAAAATGTAAGTTCCTGGGGGTCAGAGTGCAGCTGAGTGGTACAATGGTACCATGAGTGTGTAGCATGCGTGAGGCTCTGGGTTCAATTCCCAGCTCCAACAAGTAAGTAATAAGTAAACAGAACTCCCTTGAAACACTCCCAAATGGTGGCCAGGCATACATCTTGCAGCTAATCCATGCTCCACTGAGATGTGCAGGACAAGACTTTTAGATAGAGATTAAATAAACTACGGCAGTAACTGGACTGGAACAGGCTGACAAAGACTTCCCTACAGCTAACTCTAGTAAGGCTCCACTCAGCCCTCCGTGCCTCCACCCTGTGCTTCAGCGACTGTGCCAGCAGAGCTTCATTTCATCGAGAATCCTGCTGGGTTGGTTGTGAGAATCCCAACCTCATTCTTTCACCCGGCCTGCCTGCAGCAAGAATTCCAGCACGTTGGCTTACCCAGAATCCTGCTTTAACCCTGCAGCTTCCCCTTAGTAAATCCTTCTACAGAGCCTAACCCTGTCCCTACCCTGGCAATCAATCCCACTTGTCCTTGTATTTGGAGCTGATCCCCACCTCTGTCTGCCACTGCACAACTCCAGTGCAGTAGTCCCTTTTTAGATGAAGTCGCCCTTATTGAGTAAGTGTCATGACAAAACCTTCAGATAGGCAAAGCACTGTCTTTTTTGTATCATATACTGTGGGGATGGGGCAGGAAGATAGGGCTGGGAGCACAAGGCTAACTGTGCTGGACTCCATGCACCTGTTAATGAGTTAGAACTATTCCTGGAGTAGCAAACACATGTGGCTCCCCAGGTTGTGGAGGGGAAGAGACGACCCGGGTGGTAGCCCCAACTAATGGTCAGCCCTGCATAGTTCCTGCTACTCAGCATTGCCTTCTAACAATCTTCTAAGAAAAACTGAAATCCTGGATTTTATAAATCTTCCAATATTATAAATGTTCTTCCTAATTTAGATTGTTTTAACCCTGGTGGAGCTGCAGGGCAAACCAAAGCCATGTGTGTGCTTTCCTGGCCCATGAAGCAGGGATGGGCAAAGGGGAGTCCTCAGGCTTTGAAACAAGTAGGTGACACTGGCACTTAGAAAGAGCATA